CCCGGCCGGGGGGGGGGGGCCTTGGGGGGGGCGGGGGGGGGGGGGGGGCGAGTCCCGGGAAGGAAGGCTGGCGTTCTTGCCCTCGCCTGGCGCCGAAGCCCGGGAGCCCGCGCCTTGGCACCGCCTGCAGCCATGCCGCCACCTTTCCCTGCGCCCGGACCGGCCGTCGCCGCCACCCTGGGGCCCCCGTCCAGCCGTTGCGCAGGGCGTTTCGCACACCTCGGGCTTGGGCCCGAAGAGGGTCATCCAGCCTCCCCTTGAAAACCTCCAGCTAAGGTTTTCAGAATGTGTCATAAAATGTAACTAGTGAAGATATAAACTGTATAAAGGACACAAACACAAGGGTGTTTTTTTTACTTAAAATAAAAACATGCTTGAACATCAGCACTCTTGCAATATTTTGTTTATTTAACAGTGTCTGATAACTGACACCTCTTGCTCTGAATTACTGCATCAAAATGTCTGTGCCGTTGCAATCTTGAGTATGCTGTTCAGGTGTGTCTCTGTAAGCTCCAAACCTAGATGATTCAGCAGCAGCAGAACTGGAAGAAGAAGCAAAAGGCAGACAGTTCCACTGTGGGCCTGATAGAAGCCCTCCGGGGGCCTGATCCAGCCCACAGGCCACATGTTTTACACCCCTGATCTAGTCCAGCATCCCCTGTCTCACACAGTGGCCACCCAGTTCCTCTGGAGGTCCAGCAACAGGGCAGAGAGGCCGAGGCCTTCCCCTGAGAAGGACATCAGAAGAGCCCTGCTGGGTCAGACCGGTGAGGGTCCATCCAGTCCAGCCTCCTGTCTCACACAGGGGCCAGCCAGTTCCTCCGGAGGGCCAACAACAGGGCAGAGAGGCCGAGGCCTTCCCCTGAGAAGAACCTCAGAAGAGCCCTACTGGGTCAGACCGGTGAGGGTCCATCCAGTCCAGCATCCTGTCTCACACAGTGGCCAGCCAGTTCCTCTGGAGGGCCAACATTTATTTATTTATTAAATTAGATTTACTAGGTCGCCCTTCCTTAGGCTTACAGCAAATAGTATACAATCTGAATACAACTCCATTAAAACTTTCCAATAAATAACAATACGTAAAAACAATATTTGTAAAATATAGACGATGGTGGAGAAATCCTAGGTCCCTGACCGCCTTAAAGGTCAAAACTGAAACCTTGAACCTGATACGGTGCTCCACTGGAAGCCAGTGCAGCTCATGCAGCACTGGTTGAATATTTGCTGTCCGAGGCGTCCCTGTAAGGACCCACGCAGCTGCATTTTGGACCAGTTGAGTAAGTATGATCTGATAGGCATCACTGAGACTTGGTGGGATGAGTCTCATGTATGGAGCACAGTGATTGAAGGATATACCTTGTTCAAATGGAACAGAATTAACAAAAAAGGAGGCGGGGTGGCACTACATGTCAAGAATGAACACACTTGCACTGAAATTCAGGATGTCGAGAGTTGCCCTGTTTAAAGTGTGTGGCTAAGGATAGAGTGAGGGGAAAAACGGGATATTGTTGTGGGGATATACTACAGACTTCCAAACCAACAAGAGGAACTGGATGGTTCATTTGTGCAACAGCCTGCTAAACTTTCACAGAGACAGGATGTTGTGGTTATGGGAGATCTCAACTATCCAGATATTTGCTGGAAATCTAACTCTGCTAGACATGGGGCATCCCGCATATTCTTGAATAGTCTTGCAGACAACCATCTCTCAGAAGGTGGAGATGGGAACCAGAGGACCTGCTATCCTAGATTTAATCCTGACTAACAGGGAAGAACGGGTTGATGAAATGAACGTTGTGGGATCCTTGGGGAATAGTGACCATGTCAGCTTGGAATTTGACATAGAGAAGGATGTGAAACCAGGACATAGCAGGACTCATATCCTGGACTTCAGGAAAGCTGATTTAAAAAACCTCAGATAAATATTAGGTAGGATCCCGTGGCTGGAAATGCTGAGGGGGGAATCTGCACAGGAAGGATGGGTGATGCTGAAAAATGAAGTGCTTAAGGCACAAGCACAAACTGTTTCGGTAAGAAAGAAAGGAGGGAGATGGGTAATGATGCCAAGATGGCTGAACAAGGAACCCTCTGAAGAGCTGAGACTAAAAAAGGATATGTACAGGAAATGGAAGGAGGGTCAAATTACTGAGGGTGAGTACAAGAAGCAGGCTTGATTCTGTAGGGATGGTGTCAGAAAGGCTAAAGCGCAGATGGAGCTGAGGCTTGCAAGGGATGCTAAAAATAACAAGAAAGGTTTTTATGCCTATGTTCGTAGCAAAAAGAAGAACAAGGATGGGGTGGGGTCATTTCATAGAAAAAGAGCTAGGGGAACTCATTAGCATACCTTATTAGCATATGCCACACCCCCTGACATAACTGGAAGTGTGTCATAAGGCCACACCTCCTGAAGTCACCAGAAATGTATCATAAGGCCACATACCCCGCCCCCAATGGTCCCAGCCGCCGGTGCCAGCCTTGCAGCTCCACTGCTGAGCCCCATGAGGGGCCCGGCGGTGGACCTGCAAGGCCAGTGGGAGTGCAAGGAAGCCCCGCGAAGGCCCTCCCTGGCCCCAGGCAGGCAGGGGTGGGGAGAGGCAGGGAGGAAGCAACTTACCCTCCCTCTTCTCCTGCCTCCTCCTGGCTGAATGAGGGCCGGAAGCGGGGCAGCCGGAAGCAGGGGGCGGGGCTTCGTCATGTGCCCTGCCCCCTGTACCTCACCCGGGGGAACTGCGTTCCCCCGCGTTCCCCCCTGAAATGATCTCTGGGTAAGCTCATTGCTAGGGGAAGACGGTCAAGCCTTAAAAAGGGATGAAGACAAAGTGGAATTACTCAATTCTCACTTTGCGTCCACTTGAATAACAGTCCATTTGAATAACAGCCAGACTACAGAGGACTGCAGCCTTGGGTCCAGGCCCCCATGGCTGTTTCAGCACTTGAAATGGGGTGGGGTGGGGAACAAGAGCTTCTGGAGCCACTATGCCATGCACCGATCTGGATTGAAGCCTCATGGCAATTTTTAAAGATCTACAAATTCTTCTAAAATAGTGTCGCAGCCACAGGATGGATATGTGGCTTCCATCATTTATAGTCTTCCCCTAAGAAAGGTACAGTAAGTGTTAATGAAGAGTAACAAGTACCATTTTAACAGCAGTGACACACCCCTGATTAATGGACATTCTTGGCCTTTTACTAAAAGGAAATTTCTCAATAATTTTAATCCATATTTTGTTATTGGGGCTTGCTTGGTATGATAACTTATTTATTTATTTATTTATTTATTACTTCGATTTCTATACCACCATAACCCCCCCATGGGGGTCTCTGGGTGGTTTACAATTTGGAGGTGCTAATCACCTATTAGTTCCCTGACTACGGCCACATTCTCAGAGGGGTTGGGATAGCCTACCAGCACCCAGGTGGTGACGGCTCTTTCTTCCGGCTTCTTCGGCTTCAGCTTCAGGTGTCTCTCCGGTCCTCCAGTCCAGCAGGACATCTCCTTGTGGTGCTTCCGGCGGATAGCTGCTTTCGGCGCGCGGATCCGCTCTCCTTGGCCCGGCTATGTCCAGTAGGCTCCGCCGCGCCTGGAGATGATGTCTCCCCGCGCCTCTTTCGCTGCTGGCGACGGCCGCTTTTTTCTGATGTTTTACCGCTGGCCACCAGGGATCACTCTTCTGGCTTATGTCGCCGCGCCGCGCCACATCGTCTCCGCTGCCAGGATTTCCGCCGTCATCTCGCCGTTTCGCCGCCATTACCGCTGCTCTTCCACCGCACACTACACACCTCAGGAGAGGAGGGTGCCCCCTACCCTATTAAGGGTAGGTCCCCATTTATCTACTCGCCCTTTAACGGGCTTTCGAACCGCTGGGTGGGCGGGAGCTGGGATGTAGGCCGGGAGCTCACTCCGGCCACGGTGGGGCTCGAACAGCTGTTCGGCCAGATGTTACTGCAGGCTGCATTTACCGCCTGTGCCACTGCTCCCTAACAGAGTTACTAAAATGGTTGACTCTGGAAATGCTGTGGATATAGTGTATCTAGAGTTGTGTATCTAGATTAGTGTATCTAGATTTGACAAAGCTTCTCACGATATCCTTGAGGATAAACTGGTTAACTGTGGGCTGGATGGTGCAACCATTGGATGAATTCATGGTTGGTTGAAAAA